TTTAATTTTTTTTTTTTTTTTTTTTTTTTTTTTTTTTTTTTTTTTTTTTTTTTAGAGACAGGGTCTCCCTGTAGCTCCTCCAGCTGGCCTGGAACTCAGTATGTAGTCCAGGCTGGCCTTGAACTCACAGAGATCTGAACTCTGCCTCCTAGTGCTGGGATTAAAGGCATGCACCACCATACTTGGCTGATGTCCTTGTTACGAGTCTGTTTTAACTGTTGATCTCTGCTTGGTTTAACTTTGGTGGATTCATTGGATTTAGAAATTTGACCATTTCTTTTAAATTTTCTGATTTAATAGAATATAGGTTTTTAAAGTATTCCCTTATAATATTCTGAATCTTTTTTGATGTCTTTTGTGATATTTCCTCTTTCATTTCTGATTTTGTTGATTTGGATTTGTTCTTTCTTTTGGTTAGCTGGGCTAGGTGTCTATCTTCTTTATCTTTTCAAAGAACTAGCTCTTAGTCTCTTAGATTAATTGTATTGTTTTCTTTGATTCTATTTCATTGATTTCTGCTTTGCTTTTTATTATTTCTTCTCATCTGTTGGGTTTGAGTTTGGTTTATTCTTGCCTTTCCAAATTCTTGAGTTGAGCCATTAAGTTATTTATTTGTGCTCTTTCTGATTTTTTAATGTAGGTGCTTTAAAGCTATAAATTCCCCTTAGGACTGCTTTTAACATCTCAGAGATTTTTGTTGTGTTTTATTATCATTTTCATTTAGTTCCAGGAATGCTTTTATTTCTTTTTTAATTTCTTCTCTGACTGTTCATCATTCAGAAGTGTGTTATTTACTCTCCATGAGTCTGTGTAGTTACTAGACCTTCTTTTGCTGTTGACTTTAAGTTTTATTGTGTTGTGGTCTGATAGAATACCTGTAATTATTTTAGGGTTTGTATTAGTCAGGGTTCTCCAAAGAAACAGAACCAGTAGAATGAATATGTATAAAGATTTATCAGCTTAGCTCACAGGATAGAGTCCAAGTAGTCCAACAATGGCTGCACCACACTGGAGAGGCTGAGAATCCATAGTCCCTTGGTACACAAGGTTGGATGTCTCAGTAGTCCCAATCTGGAGCTGAAGGTCTGACAAATTCCAAAAGTTCAGCTAGTCTTCAGTCTACAGCAGCAAGGAACTCACCAGCGAGAGAGAAGGCAAGCAGCGACAAGCCTAGCGTTCTCCTCTGCCTGGTGTTTTATACCAGCTGCCATCAGAAGCTAACACCCACGTTTAGGGTGTGTCTTCCTGCTTTAGATGATCCAATCAAGAAAATCTCTTTCATTTCAGTTAATCTCAGATCAAATCAAGTTGACACCCAGGATTAGCCATCACAGGGTTTTTTGTATTTGTTGAGGCTTTGTGCCCCAGTATGTGGTGTATTTTAGAGAAATGTCCTTGGGCTGCTGAGTAGAATGGGTATTCTTTGATGCTTGGTGGAGTATTCTGTAGATGTCTGTTGGGTCCATTTGGTATATGATATCATTTAAGTCAGATGTTTTCTGTTTATTCTTTGGCCAGATGACCTATCTATTGGAGAAAGTGGGGTATTGAAGTCACCTACTATTATGGAATTATGGTTAATCAGTGTCTTAAAGTCCAGTAGTACTGTTTTTATGAAATTGGGTACACCAAAGTTTGGTGCATACATGTTCATGATTGTAATGTCTTCTTGTTATGTCTTTTTCTGCCTTCCCTTTTTTCCTTCCTTCCTCTGTTTAATAAGGCAGTCACAATGAAGCTCCTTTATTGTAGTCCACTTTGTATTCTAATTTAGTAATGTACTTGGCATAACAAAAACTTCAAATATTGTGAGAGGTCAAGGTTCTTCTTAGTTGGAAACACATAGACCCACAGAGTACTGGCAACTTTGATTATACATCCTTAAGCCACATGTCAAAACCAGCTCAGAAACATGACTGATCCAGTTACTAAAAACTTGGAGGGCTCATCTAATGTTAGAGGTAGCAAAACAAATTAGTTCTAATTGATGTTTCAGTCCTTTTGTTTCTAGGGAATGAGTGATGATAAGTGAAAATGGCCCTTTAGCTATAAGGAACTTAATTTATGTTTCTAGACCAAAAGAAAATGATGATCATTTGAAAAAATTAAGACTGTTTTTAAAAGCAATTTTAGGTTTACAACTAAATTGAGACGGTATATAAGATCTCCCTCCACCGTATACACAGCCATGCACACTATCAGTATCTCCAACCAGAGTGAAACTTTTTTTTATAACTGATGAACTTACCTCATCAATCATGTAGTAGTTCCACTTATCCAAATTCCTCCCTGTCTTTTCATGGCTTAGTAGCTCAGATCTCTTTAGTGTAGTACATTTGATTCATCCATTTCTCTACTGAGGGCTATCTTGGTTGCCTCCAAACTTGGGCAATTACAAATAAGACTTCCATAAACAGGGCTGGGAATGTAGCTCAGTTGGCAGAGTCCTTGCCTAGCATGCACAAAGCCCTGGTTGGATCCTTAGCACCACATAAACCAGATATGGTAGTACATCCCTATAACCCTGGCATTTGGGAGATGGAGGCAGGAGGATCAAAATTCAAGGTAATCCTCAGCTACATAGTGAATTCAAGGCCAGTCCAGGCTACATGAGAATCTGTCTCAAAAATAAGCACACCAAGGGCTAGAGAAATGGCTCAGTGATTAAGAGCACTGGCTGTTCTGGCAGAGGACCCAGAATTGGTTCCCAGCACCCACATGGTAGCTAACATCTGTAGGTAACTCCAGTTTCAGAGGATCCATCACCCTCTTCTGGCTTTCATGTGCATTGCACACACAAGGTGCGCTTACATACATGCAGGCAAAGCACTCATACATGTAAAATATAAATAAATTTAAAAAATAAAACACACCAAAAACTCATAAATTTGCACAGGCAGGTTTTTGTGTGCACATAAATTTTCATTTCTTTAGGCAAAAGCCAGGGAGTACCATTCCTAGATTATACAGTATTATAGGTGTTATAATTTTGTAACAACCATCTGTCTTCCTAAGTGGCTGTACCACTTTACATTCCCACCAGCAATGAATGAGAGTTCCTGTTTCTCCTATCCTCACCAGTATTTTGTGGTTTCAGCATTCTGGATTTTGACCATTTTAATAGGTGTGTAGTAGTTTTGGTTTGTTTTGGTTTGGTTTCCTTTTCAAATAGGGTTTCACTATGTAGCTGTGGCTGGCCTAGAACTCCCTATGTAGACAAAGCTGGCCTTGAACTCTTAAGAGATCCAACTGCCCCTGCCTCCCCAAGTTTTGGTATTATAAGCATGTGCCACCATGCCCAGACAGTTAGTTGTTTTTTAGAATAAAACAGAAAGCAGGATATTGGCTTTGATTATTTCGTGGGATAGAAATTGCATTCTGAACAAGTGGCCTATTTTTTATGTTCAAATCTCTTATTATAATCAAAGCTTTTTTTGTTTGTTTGTTTTGGTTTTTTGTTTGTTTGTTTGTTTGATACAGGGTCTCCCTGTAGCCCCAGCTGGTCTGGAACTCGCTATGTAGACCAGGCTGGCCTTGAACTCACAAAGATCTACCTGCCTCAGCCTCCCGAGTACTAGGACTAAAGATGTATGCCACCATGCCCAGCTAATATAATCAAAGCTTTTAATTTCACTGGAACAGATATGTTTGGGTGTTAGGTTTGCTGGTAGGTTTGAATGATGCATCCAATACCTTGACCTCTTAACTGCATTAAGAAGGCAGCCATGGGGGTAGAGAGGTGATGCAGTGGGTAAGAGCACTGGCTGCACTTGCAGAAGACTGGGGTTCTAGTACCAACACTTACAGGGTAGTTAACAACCTTGCATGACTTCAGTTCCAGGGGAATCTGACAGCCTCTTCTGGCCTCTGCAGGTATTGCACAACATGGGTGCACTTACATACATGCAGGCAATACACTCATATACAAAAAATAAAATGATAAAATATTTTTTAAAAAATAAAAAGGCAGCCACTACAGACAAGTGTTCAATTCTGAGATCTCCTAAAACAATAATGGAGTTTAATACTTTAGGAAACTCTTTTTGTTAAAGAATGAATCCCTGTTTCATTTCAGCCTGGTCACTAAGTCTTGAGCTAAGCAGAAGATATTTAACATTTACTGCATACCAGACAGTGTCAGGTCATTTCACATAGCATTATCTTAATTCTCATAATTTCTCTGTGAAATATCACTATATAAGTCCCCAGATGCCCAAGCAGTTTTTCCCACCTTCCTATGTATTTATATTTGCCATCCCTTCACCTCAATCTTATTCCTCCTTTTTTGCCAAAGAAATCCATACTTACCCTTAAACTCTCACCTCAGATGTTACTACTCTAAGGAAACCTTCCCATTCCTCTAGATTTGTCTCTGTTGTGCTCTCCTAGTCCACTGTGTCTCAAGAGCACACGAAACTGCAATTAGACTAACTGTCGTTTCTGCTGAAGTATAAAGATAAGGAATGACTATACCTGTGTTATTTTTTATATTATGTAGTGTCAAGTACAGTCTTACACATGCTCAGTAAACAATCATTGTATAATTGTGCCAAATGAATGTCACAATAAGAAGTTGAATGCTGGTCTTTCAAAAACCTTTAAATTACATCATATACAGTACCTAACAGGAAGTATTTCTTAAGAAAATTACTCAAGAGACTCTTCCTCAATTCTGTCTTAGTTGTAGATTGGTTATCTATAAAAGCTATTCATCATGTACTATGTATTAGAGAGGGTGTGGTTCTGAGATAAGGAACTGAAAAGTCTCCACAGTTCCTCCTGGGTAACCTCTTGAGAGAAGTTTCACCTTTTTTGGAAGCTATTTTTTAAAACTCCTTGCTTTGTGGACAAGCAGAACTCAGTAGGCAAATGTCTAAAATGAAGAGCCCCCAAACTTTTGAGGAACAAACAGAATGTATTTTGAATACTCTACTCACAGACTTCTTGGATCCAACATTACAGATTGCTAACCGAAACCTACTTGTTGCAGATGAACCAGACTCAGGTAAGGCTCTTGGTTGAAGTTGTGATTACACATGAAAAATGCAATCAGAGTATGCTTTCTCTATTTTCCCTTAAGTTTTAAAAATATTTTAATTTTTCTTTTATGTATGTAAGCGCACCCATGTTGTGTGAAGCCTGCAGAGGTCAGAAGAAGGCGATGGATCCCCAGGAACTGGAGTTACAGATGTTTTTTAGGCACCATGTGGGTACTGGGAATCAAACCCAGGTCCTCTTCAAGTACAGTCAGTGCTCTTAACTACTGAGCCATCTCTCCAGCCCCTCCGCTTTAAAAAATATCCTTTAGACTTTATTTTTTTTGTAGTATTTTTAAGTGACTATATGTGATGGGTTTTATTACAGCATTTGTATACACATGCTCTTATACTTTTAAGTTTTAAACAGCAACATTTTGAAAGCTTTTCAATGGAGGAAGGTTGTCTGACTATTACTACTAAGAACAAACAATGCCAAAATTTGTTTTAAAGACTTGAGAACGTTTCCCTGTTGCCCAGAGTCCTGAGACTTATGCTTTCAAGCATTGTGACAATTGTCTTTTTTCTGTTGTAGGAAAGGCTTGCTCTTTTGATGTGGCTATTGTTGCTGGTCGCCTTCGGATGCTGGGTGACCAGTTCAATGGAGAATTAGAAGCTTCTGCCAAAAACATCATTTCAGAAACAATGCCGGAGCAGGTCAAGTTTTTACTTTTTGCTATATTTGCTGTTCTTTTCTATTTTCAAAATTTTTTCTATTCCTGTATACTGTGACTAGGAATGTTCTATGATTATTTGGAGGCTTATGTTTTTAAGGAGATAAAGCAGGAAATGCAATAGCTAAGTCTTTAGATGTTAATAAAAACCCAAGTACTATAAAGGGAAACTCTTGGCATGGGCCTCCTCAGAGGAGGAGGTATTACTAGATCAAGTCCATAATACATTATTTTTGGAAAGGGATCTTTTATGCATACTTTAATTTTATTATCATTGTGTGTATGTATGATATATGTGTGGGTACACACATGCCACTGCATTCCTGTGGCAGTGAGAGGACAGCTTTATGGATTTCTCTTTCCACTTTTATGTAGGTTCTGGGAATCAAACTCAGGTCACTAGGCTTGCTTGACAAGTACCTTTATTCACTGAGCTATCTTGCAGTCCCATTGGTCGTATTTTAATATTTATTTTGTTGGGAGTGGGCCTCTCCCTCATCCTAGGGTCCAGTAGTGAATTATACTCAGAGATGGTAGGCAGTTTAGAAGACTGATACAATTAGAAATAAGCCCTTAACAGAGATGCAGTGGCTTTTCATTAGACTCTGATTACTGGCAGTGGCACTTGACTGTATTAGCTATAAAGACCATAAGATAGTCTTCTGGGAGATATTGCTGATTATATCAACAATGATGGCTAATACTCAACACTTTTCATGATCTCACTTCATCATTTAATCATTATATCCTTGTGTGAATTATTATAAAAACTATTGTTCTTTTTAAAAAATATTTCGTGGTGGCGCACACCTTTAA